AAGTCTGCCGACAGCGCCACATGAGCAAAGCCAGTTGCGTCACTCAGGCATGCGCCCACGCTGGATGCCTCAACAACCAGCTTCCCATAGCTTGGCAAGTAAGGACAGATTGGGCATGTCCTGATGAAGGAATATCTCCTGAATTAGGCCTCTTCACGGCAGGTCCTACCCCCCGAGCTGAAAGGACCGCAGTCCACAAGAGGTTCCAAATTGATACTTGCACGAGGGATTGCAGACTTGCTGGGACTCTGTCCCCCCCCTTCGGTCCTGTGGTTTGTCCAGGGGCTGCTCAGCAACCTGTCCAAAGCAAGACCCGGCTCGGGTCGGTATATCAAGGCTTTCGGCCTTGGTTTAAGTTAAGCGCCTTTTTGAACCAAGAGACGGTGACACGGTATCTTCGGGGCCCTAAATCTATCCGGCCTGAAGTCTGAATGCTTCGTAGGATGAGGCTTCACAGGTGCCAGCTGAGTGGGAGTGTAGACAGGGGATTGCCTCAAGAGATTCAGAACTCGCTGCTCTTGAGGGAGGGTGGAGATGCAAATGGACAACTTCAGGACTGGAAGTGCCTTCACATTCATGCTGGAAGTCCAAACCTTGGAACCTCTGCATTCAATGCATAGCTCAGACAGTCACAAAGCATGAAAACCAAGCCTTCAATTTGGGCGGCCAATTTCGGCTGTAGCTCGCTGAGCGAGTTTTTCCGTTGGCAAGGACGCTTCAGTGCAAAGAGTCAGAAGGAGCAAGGCTTCACCTATAAAGATCCTCAAGATTTTTGCCCCAAACCTTTCAAGCCGCAGCGAACTGAACCCAAATCACAGTCTAAGGGCCCAGGCATGAGCTGGATTTGCCAGTATCTCTACTGTTTTTGTCGACCTGAACTAGGGAGTGCCAGTCTGCGCAAGGCCTGCAGGCCGCGCACTTCCAGGAGCCTCTGCCATTTGAGGCCGACCTTATGGTTCACCCATGTTGACCCTACAGGCCTAAGTGGTGGTACCTACCGGGTAAGCCACAATCTCCTTTGCGGGATGAACTGTGATAACTTGGAGTAGTTGTATCAAAAGCAGTAGATAGTAATCGGGGGCGATTCAACAAGCGTGCAAGCTCATTCAGCATGGCCAATCTCATCTCCACAGGACCTGCAAACAACAAGTTGTCTGGGGATGCTGGCAGAGCAGCATCCTCAACCCAAAAACTCCTCTTCCCGAATCCTGAACTCAAAGCGTGTCCAACCCTGAGAGCAACGAGAGCTAGACCGCCTCGGGGAGCGCCGCGGGCGAGAGGCTTTGTGTGGGCGAGGGAGGAGGAGCCTGTTGCTGTCAATGTCTCACCATGTCTTCGTGATTGTCAGAGGGTTGCCAGATTGAGGGTTGAGACTCTGCTTGGGATGGCTTGAGCAGATCTGGGATAGGTTCGTGGTTAAGGGCTTTGTGGTCCTTGAACCTACATCTTTGCCCGTAAGGTGCCGGACTCCTCGCTCAACGACTACGACCAGCGCTGCCGGCGCTTGAAATGCAACTGTTGTGGTCTGAATTTTCGGTTCAGGACTTAGGGTCGGACAGGGCAAGTCAGACAATGCATGGTCACGGGTAGGGCATCAATGACTTAAAGATACTTGAAGCGGTGACCACTGACTAATGAGTGGCTACAGGAATAGCTTGGACGCTCGGGCTTCAACGTTGAGATGCGTTGCATGCTATTGCTTTCGGACGGCATAAATCCGCGCCTCCTGGGACAAGCCTCGTGCCTCCAGACGGCCAAGGATTTGCCAGAACGGCCACACCTTGGCACGCTGTCCAAGAGAATTCGTCTATATTTCCAAGAGTGAGCTTTACAAAATACCCGTCCACTTAAATCAAAGGATATGCGTTGTGACAAAGTCAAGAGTTCTTTCTAACATAGCAGCGCAAGTCTAGATTAGCAAATCTAAGCATTGGGATTCGTCTCTGGCGTTAGCGTGCGTTAGCAATACTATCTGCCACACGGTAGCATCTTGGTGCGCTTGCTCGGCTTTTCATTCAGTATTATGATAGTCTACAGATTTCAGATCCTTATAGTATGGGCTCGTATTCATCAGCCCCATCGAAACCAATGTTGCGGAAACAATCTTCGGTCAAGGGAGAAATTTCCTTCGCCAGCGCCCCATAACAAGATCGGTTGCTAAGCTGCTAAGCTGTCAGGACGAGGCTGCGGCTGACTGCATCTCGTGATACACAGTCATGTTCGGCCTGGCCAAATAACCATTCGCAACTTCGGCCTTTATTTAGCAAAGAGCACTGCTGCTCTTAGCACATGACTCGCAGCCATCCAGGTTGTGCTCCCCCAGAGCCTGGGTGTGCACAGGTTTCCGGAGCTTTCCTTCCCCACGACTTTGCACTCAAAGGTTGGACCTCCACTTCTGACATCCCATCCCTGACCCTTCTCCGAACACTGAAGCCCCAAGCTCTCTCAACCATACGGCACAAACCCCAATGTAGCCCCGGGCTGGGGAGCTGGCAACCAAGGCTTTCGTTGAGTTCCAAACTGCCTGCGACCTGAGACTGTATGGGCTCACAACTTTTCTAAGCTTCTCGCGCTTTGCCTTAGGCCAGGCTTCAGAAATTAAATGGCAATATCTCTGGATGTAACGGCATATGCTTTTGCCTTTTCGGGACCCGACTCAGCCTCACGCAGCGAGCTCGTCACTAGCAAGCTCTCAGCAGCTGCGAAGTAGGCAGTCGCCTCAGTCTGCAGAGCTTCCTGTCGTGGACGGAAGCTTACGCTTGCATCTTTGGTTTAACTGACAGCACCACGAAACATCAAGTATCTTCCGAGGTTGGTCCAGAGAGCTTGTGATTTTGGTGTCAAGGATTGGGAGTTGCGGGAGTATTCATTAGATGGCCGAGAAACGGTTTCGGGGCGTTGGGCTCTCGGGTGGTCTCAGGTTCTGCTCAACCAAAGCTACAGATGGTCTAGATTCATGTTCAACTATAATCTAAACTTCACATGAAGCTGTAATCCTGAACTCAATCCCTTTCCGCACGGAAAATGGGTGTATCCAATCAACGCTAACGCACTAAGGCACGTGTCACACATTCACGTCAAAGCAAGTTCTGGCTTTCCCAGACCGATGCTGAAGCAGACACGACATTTTTGATAGCGCAAAACAGGGCGAAGCCCAATTCGACCAAATCGAGCGACACACTCCCTGCCCAACCGTCCCCTGCGCTGCACAAAAGAGGAGACTGTCTGCGCAGCTCAAATCAGAAACCCGTAGCAATTCGGACCCTAAACCTAGCCTCACAGAGAAGCCAAGGCATAGACCCGGCCCCAGGAGCAACGGCGGTAGGCAGTCCTTGGCATATCTTCGGACCGTAGTGGGGGAGGCAAAGGAATGGCGGAACGGCAGAGTTTTTGGAAGAAGCTTCCAGGCGTAAAGGACTGGCCTCGTCGTTTGACCGGATGTTTCGCTGCATCAGGCCCTGGGGTGTAGGCAGCCCTGTGAGAAGCGAAGCTTGCGCAAAGACCCGCAAAGGCAGACTCGACAAGTATGAAAGCCTTTCCACACACTTCTCCTCGGGCATAGCCAGACATACTGGCCAGACAATCAGCCCAGCAATTTCAGATAGCAAGAGAGCCAGCATGGGAGATTGTTTCCAAGCTTGTCTGACCATTCATTTGTTGAGATTCTAAGCCGCAAGAGCAAGAACACGAAAGCACATTGTGCGGTGGGATGTAAGCAAAACACCTTGCACAACTCACCTTGCTTGCGCTGATCCCTCTCGTTAAGAAGTCAAGAGAAGCTGCATCTCAGGTGCAAAAAACGTCGCGAGGCCCTGGCTGCGAAAGGTACCTTCCATCGAAAAGAGTCATTCTACTGCCCAGGTTTATAGGCTCAACGTGCCAGATCTTTAAGGGGAACAGTCCTGATTCTGTAGTGACCCACCTGCATGCAGCCTGAGGAGTGACCCTGAATCAAGCTGCGCTATTAGTGGCGGCGGCGGCGGCATTGAACCACTTGGGAGGAAAACCAACAGAATGATGAAAGCTGCTGGAGCACTGCAGCGAAGTGCTCAGCGGCAGTGCAGGAGATGTCCGCTCACCTCAAGATTAGAACTGGCCTCTGATGTGAGCACTAATTTCCTGCGAGCCCAAGTCAGGAACCCTATTCCGAACGATCATGCTGGCAACCACTATGATGGACCAACTGTGGATCTATAGAATGGAGCACAAAAAATGCACCACCGCTATCCCTGCTCCCCCGTCAATGAAAGACCTGCGCAAAGGACAATAAGGCCCTGGCTCGCCATCCAGGCAGTGCCTCAGAAGAAGTAAGACAGTTCAACTCTGCTGGGCCCGGTGCCTCAGAGTCAGGCTTTTGTCCTAATGTCAACTCTCCCAAACTGCCAGAAAACCGCAAACGACATCTTCCTTACCATCTCTACTGCCCGAGCAGCCAGCCCTGAAGGCTCTGGCCCAGCGCGAGCAAGAAGCGCTGGTCTTCCTGAAGACTCGGGCGGCATCAAACCTACCTGGCCCAAAGGTAAACCACTCAACCGAACGAAACACAACAATTGTTCAGGCTACAGCCAGGTCAATAGGATCTTAAGCACTTTGATCGCCGTACGAAGCTTGCAATGCATGGTGCAGACTCGGCAAGCTGAGATACGCACCACGGCAGCGGAGCCACCTTGCAGCATCTGAATTCTCTGCCACCCAGGAGAGCGCGGTTCTTTGCTGAGTTGCTGAGTCTGGCACCAGGGAAGTCACAGCACTCGCGGGGAGCGAGGTCTATGCCTGGCCCCGAAAGAACCCTCCATCCGGGCACTGAAATACCCACAGTGAATGCCGCGCCTGTCATCCCCAAATCAGGTCCTGAGGCAGGCATGCCTCAGCTTCGGTGAACTTGGCTTGCAGGACTTCGCAGGGTGCCTTGGCCTCGCACTGGACGCCTGGAGATCACTCCTTGGCCAAGCTCTGTACATTCGAACACAAGGGTGCTGTCAAAGCAGCAATACCAACTGCTACAAAGAAGCTGTACGGCTTCTGCCGCAGTCGCCATCAAACCGAAGATAGGCCAGCCGGATGCATACACCTGTGCTCCGCTGACATCTGCCCCCAACGTCATGCAGAGGCACGCTTGTCAAACTGAGGGGGAGGCATCCCAATATGACAACGGAACAGCCTTTTGGAAAGTCACACCACCAAAGACCGACGTTCCTGACATCGCAGATTCTGCATACAGCTGCTTCTAACCATGCATGCCTGCACATCCTGCTCTGGAAGGGACGCACTAAGATCCAAGCTGATCAAATTCTGTCTCTCTGCAGGGTCCATGAAGTGGAAAACAAAGAACCTGCAGTCAGCGGACCAGACTGGCTTCAATGCTAGCCAGCATTTTCAGCATGGCACCCGAGCGCGATGATGCCCAGGTAGCACTCGCCTTGCAGTGGGGCCTCCCAGAAGGTAGGCGCTAACAAAAGGTTCCGCATAAGCGCGTGTGGACTTCCGCTCCCAAGCGCCAGACCGAAGCCAGCTTGATCAGCTCGTCAACCTTTGATGGATAAGCCATACTGAGACATGTTCTCCAAACGTTGCTGAACCCAGAAGCCTCGTCAAAAACTTCCTACAATAGGCGGCTCACTACACCGCCTCGTGCTGCTGCGTGCGCTCGGCTGGAGGCTGGTGGAGACTGCGAAGAAAGTTGCGCATTGCCTTGCTGTCAGCTCATCAAATTCAAGAGTGAACTGCAGTAAGTCACTGCTCCCATGTTTCGTATTCCACTTGGTGATACAATGATGAGGAAGATGTGCTCAAGGTGAGCATCCGTGAGCCTTCCCTGATGCAGAGGTGCCTTCTTGACCCAGCTCCATTCATGGCCGGAGGGTGCTGGTGCCGATCCGGCCTATCGCAGGGAAAATCTTGCCTTTGCGCAAAGGCATCACAAGCGACCTTGCTCGGAATGTGAAGCCGCACAAAGGTGTTTCTATGTCATACACGCTTGCGAGGATGGGGTCCTCTGACAGCATTTGACAGAACACGGATGATGCCATTGGCATGTAAAGATCCAAGGATCTGGCTAGGCGACCTACGCCCTAGGGGAATGGAACATGAACCCGCATGGCGCACGCTCCCGTACTATCTCAAGTCCGCGCATCAATCAACTCGAAGCACTGTCCAGTGCTACCAGCATAACAAGGAGCACAGAGGGTCACTGCATGCATTGCACAACGCATTGATGTCCACAATGAAGCTGCCTGACTAAATCTCCAAAACAACCCTGAGTCTAGCATTATTACGGCGGCAAGACAAACATCTTGTTTGGCCTCGCAACTGAGGTCAGTCACGTCAGCAACCTCCGGCACATGTGTGGATCAGCAGGCTTCTTCGTTTGCTTGCAAGCTATCAGGCTGACATGGCATGGGTCCATGCGCCCATGGGTTGCCAGATGTGTTGTTAAAATTCCTTGTCCTGCACCTCAGGCAGCCAAAAATCCTACACCCGAGAAACTGCTGGCCCGAATCACTAAGCCCAATCGCAGCGCCTTCACTCCTCTTTCACAGTGGGGGCCTCGGTCAGAGGAGTCAAACGTTTCGAGGGCTTGGCATGCTTGGCTCGAGGCTTGGTAGCCTCTGAGGTCTCAAACTGGCCAGATTGTCTCTAAGGCCTCTAGGGATTTTCAGAGAATAGTCTGCTAGTAATTGGAGTCATCAAAGCTTGGATCGGCTCCGAAGGACGACGGCGCACTCAGCCTCCGGCATACCCAAAGGTTGTACTCCTAGCATTTGTGAATGTGGAACATTGGCAGGTACCAGCTCTTTAGCTGGGTCTCGCACAGCCTGCTGCGGGGCTTTCAAGCTGATCTGCTGAGAGCAGTAGTTCCCGAAGAGCAACACAGCTGGAAAGAAGGCATCCGCCCGTGTTCAAAAACAATGCGCTACAGGAAACCTGTCCCCATAACTGCCCGGAACGCTAACAGAGTCCTTCAGCCGTTGCGCGCTCCCATGCACCTGCCAATAACTTTCTGAATACTCTATGGATCCCAGCCTGTCATCAAGCCCAGAAGCCTGGCCTTGTCCTAAGTGGGTAGATACATGTCAGACCTAGGTGGCCAGCCCTCTCCGTTGCTGTGAATCTGTAACACACTAGACTCTAGACACTCAAAACCATTGTACTCACAAGGAAGGCCAAAGTCACGCAGACCCAAGGCTTCAACCAAGCAGGGCCGGCCCAAAGCAGGAGTATGGCAAGAAATCTCTGCATTTCCGAGCATGGCTTCAGGGTGAGGGGGTATCTTCTGGATCTGAAGTTTGAGGGTTGGCGCAGCATTCAGCTGCGTGTTAAAATCTGAGGTTTTACAAGCGACACGTGGGACACTTTGACTGTGTCGATCTGATATCCACTTCTTCCAAGGTCATTAGCAAAAAATTAAGCCGGTCGAAAGACAAAAGACATGTTTGGTTTCGGGTCAGGTTGTTGTTGTTGTTGTTGTTGTTGTTGTTGTTTGCGTTGTTGTTGGTCTTGTCTGTTGGCAGCTTGAACACCGAAGGCTGCGCAGAAGAAACGAGCAGAAATCAGTGGCCAACAGCAGCAGCTGCACGGACACGAAATCGGTTTTTCCCTTTTGGCATGTGCAACTCCGCGTGCCCACATCCACTTGATCTGCAAGTGCTGTATGTAAAGGAGGGCTCACAAATTCCTTAAACCGATGCTTTGGCTTCGGCTAAACCAGCATCAAGAGAACCTGGCCGTGCCGAACCCCTTCCAAATGAAGTGTCTTCAAGCCAAGCATCTCACGTGCAAACGCAGATGACTGGATTGCATCTGCAGATCAGCGCGGAAAAACATTTCTTGCGAAAGAAGCGCTGACCCTCCTTGAGCTATGCACCCTCCAGAGAAGCGAGCAAGTTAGAGCGGCATGGGGCATAGAAAAGCAAAAGGAACGGGGCGCGTCAGTCTGGGATGCACAATTGACAGTTGTTCCAGCTTGAGGCGATGAACGCCTCAACCTTTCAAGCCACCGAGCCCCTCAACTATACCTTGCTCGTGCGGGCATAAAGACATGATATATCAGATAAATTCAGTTCGGCAGTTGCAGCTATCTGTGCGTGCCACAAAACAACGCAAGGAGTCAGTTCCGTTGGAGCAGCGCCAAAGGACTTTCAGCCACAATTCATAGTAGCAACCCTTACTACTTTAGGAACTCCAGGACCAGGGCAACCGTCCACAAAACGCTGCTCATTTTGGGTCGCGGCCCCCTCACCAAACCAGATGCTTTTCAGAGGCAGATGCTTATATGCCTTCAGGGGAGCCTCCGACATCGGGTTGGCCCTGTACGGCTTCATGGACCTCACCAGACTATTCGATGGACCCGTAGAAGGTATGTTCAGGGCTGACGACTCGCAAGACCAGCAGACTGGACTAGCAAGACCAGCAGACTGACAGCCCCCATCGTCAAGCTCTTTGCAGGTTGTGGAAGCTGCGGAAGCAATTAACCATGCCATTGCAGGATCCTGCCCAACCCTCAGGCTTGATATCCTGTGCGTGACTACAGCGATATGTAGTCAGCTTGATCACAGTTCGAGCGCAAAGAACGAAAAACAAACGCACACAATCGCAATCCAACGCTATGAGAAACCCTGCGGAGCGAAAACAAACCTTGTCATTCCCATGCTGAGGTGGCCACTGGGTCCTCCTCAATGCCTTCCACGTCAAAGCCTTAACAAAAGCTCTGCCTGCTGGCGGACCCCAAGATTTCTTTGGGGGCACCTCCACCTCTGCTTTGGAATGTCTTGCTTGGACACGTCCCGAGCCCCTCGCCCTCTGTCTTCTTCGTCTTCGCGGCACGGCGCGCAGCTGCTCGCTTGCGCCTGGCACGGGAAGAGGATTCACAACAGGTTCGTGGCCTAGCATCGAGGATCTCTGCAACTCTTCGCTGAAAGTTTGAGTTGGGGAACTAGTGCGTTCTAATACTACTTAAGCTTGGCAAGGCTTGCAACAACTTGCGGCAATGGTCGACTGGGACAGGAGAACATCTAGTGGCTTGAAAGAAAAATTTGCAGGCACAGAGCATTTCAACGTCTCCGAGCATGCTCAAGACATGACGAGTTACACTTCCCAGTCAAGTGTCCTTTTAGAGGCCTTGCTTGCTCTCAACATGAAGTCTTTTCAAGAGCCCTTGATGGGCCTCGCAGCCGCATGATCGTTCCTTGGCGAATGACACATCGGCATGGTCGCTATTTAAGCTATTTCTGGTGAGATGAGACAGGGGTCGCCCGACTACAATTAGCTCAGATGATACGACTACCACCAACAACCACCGCCGCTGCTGCTGCCAACAACTTGTCTCAACGATGTCCAACAAACGTTAAACATGTTGAAGAGAAAAAACATGGATTCATCAATTGCACGCTGATCTGTAAACGCACCATGGGGACCAGAAGACCACAGGATGAACCAGGGGACCAGGGCACCAGAGGATCATGGAAGCTCTGGATGCATGGGGGCAAGAGCAACCAGGACCACATCAGGACAGAGCCGCGACCTTTGCAGATAAAGCCTGGATCCATAAACAACGCCAAACCATAAACCAAAAGACCCACCCAAAACCTTAAGCCGTAGAAAAGCTCTCTAAAGAACCTAAACCCTGAACAACCTGAACCCTGAACCCTCAACAAGCCCAAACCCTAAATCCTTCCCAAAACCTAGATTATCCCAAACTCAAAACCCCACTCCAAACCCTTTTCTATAAAGAAGCTGAAACCCAAAACCCTAAACAAGCCGAAGCCCGAAACCTAAAACAACCGAGAAATCTAAGCAATCTAAAGCCCTAAGTCGTGAACGAACCAGAAACCTAAACAACAAAAGCCACCCCCAACAACCCTGGACCCTAAACCCTACAAAAGCCGAAACCCTAAACCCTAAAAAGCCCCCTAGACCCCAAACAACCGAAGCCCTAAACCCTACGCACTGAACTTTACAGACCTGCAAACAACCTGCAAACCCTGAAGACGCTTTCTAGGTACTAGCCCTCCTACTTTTACTACTACTTCTACTTCTACTTCTACTTCTAGTACTACTACTACTACTACTACTACTACTCCTACACCTCCTCAGGCTCCTCCTACCAGCACCACGAATAGTAGCCAAGGCTACGACTGCTGCTGCCTTCTCGTAATGGGGTGAGCCAAAAAGAATGAAGCTGCAATCAAGAAGAGCATTCAAATTGGAGATCAAACAACTTAAGGGTTATTCCAAATCAAATATGAGGCTG